AAAAAGAAAATGGTCATTATATGAGGAAAATGAACTCTTGTAGACTTGAATAACTTGCAGTGTTATCTTCTTGGCTACTGTTTTATACTAATTTGGTGCATGTCCAACCAAAGATGAAACATCCTGCAGCCAATACATGCCCAAAGCTAAATCCTCACAACCCAGGGCCTTTGTAAATATTCAGGTTTTTGTGATCCCATAACCCTGAACAGCTTGAAATCAGACATGATAGAAGTATTATACCACAAAAATCTACAAATGCTACAATTAGGACTTTGTTTCCCTTCTCCCTTCACCCAGATAATTTACCAGCATACCCACTGCGTGTAGCTTACTTTCAAATAGTTTAGAAACACACACATACACATATATAGACAGATAGAAATGAGGGCTGGAGATGTAGCCTAGTGATAGAGCTCTTGCCTAGCCATGTGCAAGGTAAGTTTTACCCTAGCATTGGGGGAAAAAGGGGGGTGGGGAGAAGGAAGGAGAGAAGAAAGAGAGGGGAGAAAAATGACAAGATAAAACTTATTGTACCAGGCACTGGTAGCTTATGCCTATAATCCTAGCTACTGAGGAGGCTGAGATCTGAGGATTGCGGTTTGAAGCCAGCCGGGTCAGGAAAGTCCATGAGACTCATTTCCAGTTAACCACCAGAAAACCAGAAGTGGCACTGTGGCATGGCTCAAAGTAGTAGAGCACTAGTCTTGAGCAAAAAAGCTCAGGGATAGCACCCAGGCCCTGAGTTCAATCCCCACAACCAACTAACAAAACAAAACAAAAAAACCTCATTGAATCTTGGTGGAGGATATTGTATCACTTATTGTGTTAATTCTGTAATCAAGAGAACTTTACTGTAAAAGCCAAAGTACAAATACCTTCAGCTTTATAGACTGTTTATCCTCTGCCATAACAACTCCTCTCTATTGCTTTGCCCCTGTAGCCCAAAGCAACCATAGATAAGACTTGTGACTAGACCTGGTTATGGTCTGAGAAAACTTCATGTATAACCAGGTACCAGTGGCATGGCTCACACCTATAATCCTACTGAGGAAGCTGAGATCTAAAGATCACAGTTCAAGCCAACTTGGGCAGAAAAGTCTGTGGGACTCATGTCCAATTAACCACCAAAAAAGAAGTGGAGCTGTGGCTCAAGCAGTAGAGCACTAAACTTGAGCGGAAAAGCTTAGGGACAGTATGTAGGCCCTGAGTTCAAGCCCCACAACCAGCACCAAACCCCCACACACACATTCTGTCTGAGTGTTGTTGGTTCATGCCCATAATCCTAGCTGTTCTAGAAGCCAAGATCTGAGGATTATGATGCAAACTAGCATGGGAAGGAATTTCTAATTGATCAACAAAAAGCTACAAGTGGAGCTTTGGCTCAAGTTGTAGAGTGCCAGTCTTGCGCAAAAAAGCCAAGCAAGAGAAAGAGGCCCCGAGTTCAAGCCCTACTACTAGCATAATATATAAATATACATATATTTGTGTGTATGTAAATATACATTTTAGTAGATATGTTTGTGTGTACATTTTAAAGAAAAATAAGTAGCATACATCTCTTAGCCTGGTTTTCAGAACCTTGCTATGTCCCTTGACACCTGGCCCTTCAAGTGGTTTCCATTCCCTGATCACTCTGTAATCTAATACATTTTGTGTCTTAGTGTCTTACCTTAAACTGCTTCCTTTCCCTACAATTCCCTCCCAACATTCACAAAAACCTGCCTCAAAGCCCAATCTTCTGCAGTCTTCCAGTTAAAGCTGATCACTTTCAATAACTATAGTCCTACATTTATACTTTGATTTTACTGCTTTTCAAATAGTAGGACACGGGCTGGGAAGGTGGCTCAGTGGTAGAGCGCTTGCCTTGCATGCCTGAGGCCCTGGGTTCGATTCCTCAGCATCACATAAGCAAAAAGAAAAAAGCCAGAAGTGGCACTGTGGCTCAAGTGGTAAAGCACTAGCCTTGAGCTGAAGAGCTGAGGGACAGCGCTTAGGCCCAGAGTTCAGGCCCCACAACCACACCCAATAAATAAATAAATAAAATAGTAGGACACCTGCCTAGCAAGAGTAAGGCTCCAAGTTCAAACCCCATTATAACAAAAAGAAAAAAAAAAAAGCACTTAATCCTTGTAAATTGTGCAACTAAATCTAGTCATGCAGGTATTCATATGCCCAAAGTCTAGAATAGGAAAATGTTGGCTTGTCAAATTTAGATTTGAAATGATTAAAGAAAAGACAATAGGAAAGTGTTCATTTTGTTGTTCTATCTATCTGCCAGTCTATTTATCATTTAGGACTGTTCTGATCTAAGTCCAGCCACCTTTGGAGTTAGTACAGATGAAATGGCTTCTAAGGATTAGGGGAAAGCTAAATGGTGTAAGCCTTCATAGTGATTCAGACAGTCTCCAGCAGTCTATGCTGTATCATGAAGTCCTCTTAACAATGTTTCCAAAGTCTTATGCTATCCTCAGGACTTAGCAATTGAGTGGTTTCCCTCAGATTTTTACACTAAAGTAAGAATTTGAATCTAGCTCCCTCTGATACCTAGCACCAATTTAGTCTTTAAGCCTCCAGCAATTGACAAAAGACTAGGGAAATCTAGGCTGGAATAGTCCCCAAGCCCATAGGCAGTGTGGAAATGTGTGTGGAATGTTGGGAATCTGTTTGCTGTTATGGACAAGCATCAGAAAACTTGTCCTGTTATCTCAGCTTTGCCACTCTTCAGCTAGATCTTGAGTCATTGAGTTTTTCTGGACCTTTGATCTCTTGATTTTATAATTAGGGGCATACACCAGCAGATTTATTCACATTTCATGCATTATGCAGTAAGTTGCTTGAAGCTTCATGAAGAGGTAGAAAATTAAAATACAGTGCTGTGTAATAATGCTATATTTCAGATGTGCAAGGTACTCTGGAAGGTACTAGAGGAAGGATAGCCAGCCCCTTAGGCCATTAACATAGCCAACTGAGCACATTCTACCCAGGTAGGATTTGGAGGGCTGGTTGGGGTAGGGGATGGCAGCTCCAGGGAAGATGGTCTGATCTGAGAATTACGACTAAAAATACATGAGGAAAGGAGTGGAGATGGAGCTAGGCAAGAGCAAGATTTAAAAAAAAAATTTTTCCTATCTCCTATAAGACCTTGGACTTTTAAGGGTATTGGAAGGCAATTGTGAGCAGACTGTAATAGCATTTCATAAAGCTCTTCCTTGCAATGTGGTATGGCAGCTGGAGTCCAGGGGTGTAAGACTGGTAGTGAGAAGACTCTTTAGAAGATGACTGCAAAAAATAATCAACTGAAAGGATGATGAGAGCCTGAACCCATGTATGTGGTATCAATGGGAAGAAGAGCAGAGCATAAATCTGAGCACTCCAAAGGAAATAGAACAGCAAGGTCTTAGTGACTATGTCAGGGACAGTGGCTACAGCCAGGTGCTCGTAATCCTAGCTACCCAGGAAGCTGAGATCTGAGGGATCATGGCAGGAAAGTTTATCTCTAATAAACTACTAAAAAGCTGTGGCTCAAGGTAGAGCTCTAGCCTTGGGCAGAAAAGTTCAAGGACAGAGCACAGTCCCTGAGTTCAGACCCCAGGACTGGCACCAAAACACAGTAGCTGCAGTTGCTCTCGTGGTCTTAGCAGCTTAAGACAATAAAATTGGGTCTCTTGCCCCCACACTCTGTCCATCTCAGGCAGGCAAGGCGCTTGGTGCTCACTGCTGTCACTCAAGGCTGAGAACCTCGGTGTGGCTGTGTGTGCTAGAGGGGAGCACAAGGACAGTCTAGTGCTGCAGCCCAGAAGTGGCATGCAGCCTGACCCGTAACTAGACGACTAGAGTACCTGGCCCCATCCAGTTGCTGAGGTCCACAATTCTGTTGTGGATGAGCAACCAGGGTGCTGCCCTGGTGCTGACTGTATGTGAAAAATTAATGGACTGGACTCTTAATTCCTGCAGAGCGAATAAGCATTTGTTAGAGACATTGGTTGAGAAGGTGGAACTAGGACAAAGGAAATTTAGCAGACCAAGACAGTAAGTGTTCCAGCCCTAAAGCATAGCCATTCAATTGGGTCTCTCAGTTAAAGAAGAGGTTTGGAAGTCGATGACATTTCTCAGCCTGAATTTACTTTAATCTTTTTTTTTTTTTTGGTTGTGGGGCTTGAACTCTGGGCCTGGGCACTGCCCTTGGGTTTTTTGTGGTTTGTTTTGTTTTGCTTTGCTCAAGGCTCATGCTCTACATTCCACTTTTAGCTTTTTGGTAGTTAATTGAAGATAGTTAACTGGAGATAATAGTCTCACATGCTTTCCTGGGCTTTGAACCACGATCCTCAGATCTCAACTTCCTGAGTAGCTAAGATACAGGTATGACCACTACACCTGGCTTTATTCTTTACAAAGATGTTTTGGAGGGCTGAAGACCCACTACCTGACAGTACCAGGGGAAGTGTTTTGGTTCATTCCCAAATAAAATCTTTCGGTTCTACATATGTCACATTCAGGTCTAACAATATTGGTCTTGAATTTTCATATACACTGAATCTATACATGATTTTTTTAAAGAAAAAGTTGTGAAGTGGCATAAGAATATCAGACTACAAAATTCAAAATGCCCTCCATCTTCATTACCACATCCCAGCATGGCATAGACATGCCATATAGATCAAGGGGTGGGAGTGGAGGAGGTGTAATGAGGTTGATTGGGGTCTATTATGCCGCTCTGGAGCACTGACACTAGCAGCCTCAGGAAGGAAGGTTTTAATGCCTCGGAATCACCAGGAATGATGGCTGCTCTCTTGAAAATACCAGAGCAGAAATACTGAATGTATACTCTTTCTTCCCTTCTTTGTTCTTTCTCTCTCTGTCTCTGTCTCTGTCTCTCTCTCTCTCTCTCTCTCTCTCTCTCTCTCTCTCTCTCTCACACACACACACACACACACACACATTGTGGTCCTTACTGTGTAATGTAAAAACTGACTTATTGTATATTTTTTTCTTAACAGTTGTGTGAAACAATCAAAGCTGGCAAAGGTGTGACTTCAGCTATTGACCTGTGTCGTTACCATGGAAACAAGGCACTGGAAGCCCTGGAGAGCTTCCCTCCCTCAGAGGCGAGATCAGCTTTGGAAAATATTGTATTTGCTGTGACCAGATTTTCATGACACCAAATTTAAAAGACACTATTATTCCTTGGCTGAAAAACCTAGAGAATGAGGTGATCAGGAACATGTTAATGCTTTTAAACACATCTATATTTTTTCCTTTTATCATATTGCTAAATGAATACTGCCTTCCTCTTGAATCCACCACAAACAAAATTAGAAGAAAAAAAGGTCAAGCAGCCTTCACTTGTCACACCAGCAGCACACTTGAGGCTGCAGTAGCAGAAATAATTAATGAGATTCACTCCTGTGACCTCAGCAAATGGACAGGAAATAAGTCCTTATTGATTGGACCAGGCCAGAGATGGCGCCAGGGCGGTGGCCTGTGGTTTTCCTTATGGAGAGGACACAGCAAGCTGGAAACTGCAGGTGTCAAGAGAAACAATGTTGAGACCAGCCCTGGAGAGCTGTCACATTGAAGCCTACTGACCAGTTGTCATGGCAGAGAATAGCACAATTCATTAACAAACAAAAATACATTTCTTGGTTATGTCTGTCTTTTTATGTATACAATATGAATATACTTTGTGGGGTTTTTGTAAGATTCTGGGAGGAAGCAATTGCTGAAAAGTTGCCAAATATTTGGAGTTGGAGATTAAGATATTATTAAATGTTAACTTAGTTATATTAGGAATTGTCTTTTTCTTTCTTGAAAATTAGAGTTATTTTTTTCTAAACACATTGCACAGAATGAAGGCCTTTTTAATTTATTTTAAAAGATGAACTTTTTCCTAGTGAAATGTATTTGTTTGTAATACTTTGAGTTAGAGACTCTCTCTAATGTTTTTATAATTTTTATCCTAAGGAATTCATTGGTGAGAATTACATTCTATTTTAAAATGTCAAATTTTGGTCTTGACCCACAGACATCTGGTTACACAAAGAACATAAGCAATCTGACAGGCCTGCAATTGGACACTTGTCTGTGCAGTTCACAGGAGATGAATTTTGTGGTTTACACACATTGCAATATGAGAACATGGTTGACAAGAAGGCTGAGTTTACATAAATGATCTAGATTGAGACTCAGCTACCTTTCTTCCTCATGTGGTGTAATTACAGCCCTATCTAGAGACAGCAAACACAGCAAACAGATTTTATTACCTACTGCACTCAAACACTAAAAGAAGTCATTTTAAATTCCTCCCCCAAAAAGTTTTGTCCCAGCCCAGCAGGTGGCATTCAATGAAGAGAAAATGTAAAGTTACAGAGATTACTGTGTATTATGAAATATTTGAAGTTGATCTGAAATACTTTGATTGTGTATGTTTTAATGCTATTACAATCAGTACCGCCCATACATTTCCCTCAGGAGAACACTCCACTCTTACTGTTCACAACGTCTTTTCTCACTGAATTTGGGTTAATTAATAACCGTGACTGAGATGCTTTAGATGGACTAGATTTTAACCATTAACTTCTATAAAGGAGGAGTCCTTGTGTTCTGAATGTGCAGAAGCTCGAGGGAGCTGGAAGATCTTGGGGCATTGCAGGTCACAGACATGTGTGCCTCAGATTCCAGCTTCCTTCTAATTTGCTGTATGGCCTTGAGGAAATTGCTTCCCTCTCAGGCTCAATTTCCTCATCTGTAAAATGTCATTAAATAAGGTAATGTATGATTTCTCTTTCATGTTTACGTTAATTCCTTTGGGAGGTGGGAAGGGTGCCAAGGTTTGAATTCAGGGTCTGCTCACTTTGCTTGTTTACTTGTTCTGCAGATGCTCTACCACTTGAGTTATGCCTCCTGCCCAAGTTTTGGGTGGTTAGTTTGGAGATAAGAGTCTTTTAGATTTTTTCTTCCCAAACTAGCTTCCAATCTCAACCCTCTGGATTTCAGTCTCCGGAGAATAAGCAGCATAAAACACTTCCCCCATACCACTCCCTTCCTGGGTTTCTGTTATTTTCTATACCACTTCTAAATAACAAAGAGTGTGTGAGATTCAGTGTGGTAGGAAACCAACTGTCAACTCTAAAGGAATGAAGAGCATTTAGTGGTGAGCATCTGATAAGCTGCCTCATAGCTGACCTAAATTCTCCAGTTCTCCTAAGATAACATCCAGGACTATAGTTTGTCAATATCTACCTGTCTCTCTTCTGCCTTATTACTTCTTCCCTACCTGTTTCTCATCTTCCCAACAGCATTCTTTCTGTATTCCATTCCTCTCTTCTTCGTGACCTTTTTTCTTTCCTTTGCAGTACAAATGATCAAGGATACTAAGAATACTAAGCCAGTGCTCTACCACCCAAGGCTGTTCCATCCCCCTTCCCTTGATGTCCAGACTTCCTGGCTCCTGCAGCCTGAGCAGCAGCCTCAGTCTTCCTGGTAAGTGACTTCTACCCACAATGCCACCTGGCCTCTCAGCTCCTACTTAGCAAAGTTCTTACCTCTGCATCTTGGTAAGTTTTTTGTGTTTGTGCACACTGGTCCTCAGGCTTGAACTCAGGGCCTAGGTACTGTTACTGAGCTGCTTCTTGCTCAAGGCTAGCACTCTTATCACTTGAGCTCCATTTCCAATTTTTTTTTGGGGGGTGTGGAGGGCGGGTAGTTTATTAGAGATGGAGTCTTGCAGTCTTTCCTGACTGGGCTGACTTTGAACTGCAATCCTCAGGTCCTAGCTTCCTGAGTAGCTAGGTTTACAGGTGTGATCCACCAACACTTGCTTGGTAAGCTTTTATAAAAAGCTTCGGTGCTCTCATTCTGCCTTTCTTCTCCAACTACCCTTCTTGTTTCTTACTTCTCTCCCAGAGTCATTCTTTTTTTTTCTTTTTTTCTTTTTTTTGCCAGTCCTAGGGCTTGAACTTAGGGCTTAGGCACTGTCAACTTTTTTACACTCAAAGCTGTTAGGTTTTTAAAAAGAGGTAGCCGAGTAAGAACTGCACCACGCACATGGTATTCAGGTAAGGGGTAGGTTTGTTCGGTAGACCTGCTGGGACCAGGTAAGGTTGGCACTCCACGTGGCTGGGAAAGAGAGAGAAAAGAGCTAGAAAAGAGCAGAGAGAGCAAGAAAAGAACAGAGAGGGAGAAAGAGAGAGAGCTAGAAAAGAACAGCAAGAGGGATAGAGAGCTAGAAAAGAACAGAGAGAGAGCGTCTGGGCCTGGGCTAGGCCTTATCTAGGGTATGGGCGGAGAAAGGTGTGGCCACATCAAATTCAGATGTGACCTCAGCGGATGCAGATGTGACCTCTTCCAGGTGTCCCAGTTGCCTAGGTAACGCAGGTACTGGGTGGAGACTTTGCTGTGAGGAGGGTGGAGTCTGCTAGCCATCCTGGAGCGGACCTTACAAAAGCTAGCACTCATCACTTGAGCCAGAGCTCCCCTTCCAGGTTTGTTTTTATTGTTATTTTGGTAGTTTGTGTAAGCATTATGCCCACCTTTGGTCCTCAGCTCCACCCAAAAACCTGAGCTCCTCCCTGCCTTAGAGTTCCCGCCCTACAGCTGGCCCCTCCCTCTCTGCCCAGACCCACCTGAACTCCCATCTACCTCACTTCCTACCCCCCCAGACCCTCCTGCTACCTGGATGGGGACGGAGGCCATGTGCTCCCTCTTGGGGGAACTATGGCTCTCTAATAAACCTTATAATAATTTTTCTCTTGTGCCTGCCTGCCTCTGCATGGTCCCCTGGGATAGATGTGTGGGGTCCTAAAGTTTGTTTTTTATTTTTTTTATTAATTTGCTTTATTGTTATTATAGAGGTGATCACAAAGAGATTACAATTACCTGTACAGGTATTGAGTGTGTGTGTATATTTATTTATTTATTTATTTGATTTTTGTTGGTCCTGGGGCTTAAACTCTGCGCCTGGGCACTATCCCTCAGCTCTTCAACTCAAGGTGAGTGCTATACCACTTGAGCCACAGCACCTTCCAGTTTTCTGAATGGTTTATTGGCAATAAGAGTCTGACAGACTTTTCTACCCCAGCTAGCTTTGAACTACAATCCTCAGATCTCCTGAGTAGCTAGGATTACAGGTATGAGTCTACACCCAGCTCCAGCATCATTTTTCTATGAACTTTTCGATTTTGGGGGTGGTGGGAATTTTTTTTTTTGGTCTGATCATGGGGCCTGAACTCTGGGCCTGGGTGCTGTCCCTCAGCTCTTCAGCTCAAGGCTAGCTAGCACTCTACCACTTGAGCCACAGCGCCACTTCCAGATTTTTTTTTCTGCTTATGTGGTGCTGAGGAATCGAACCCAGAGCCTCATGCATGCAAGGCAAGAGCTCTACCACTGAGCCACCTTCCCAACCCAGAACTTTTCAATTCTGTTTCCTTAAAAACTATGAAGCAGGACCTCCCTCGTGCTAGGGAAGCACTCTGCCAATAAACTACAGAAGCCAAAGCCCACAATCTTATTTTAAATTCTCCAACTTAGAAAATTTGATTTCTTCTGTTGAAATTGTTTAGAAAGAAAGACTAAAGCAAGGAGCTGGTGGCTCATACCTATAATCTTAGTTACTCAGGAAGGTAAGATCCTGAGGATTCTAGATTCTTAAAAATCATCAGACCAGACAAACTCAAACCCAAGAGACTCTTATCTCCAATTAAGCATCAAAAAACAAGATGTGGAGGTGTGGCTCAGGTGGTAGAGAAGAAAACTCGAGCAGAATGCTACATAGAGAAAGACTTGACTAATGAGATTACATAAAAATAAGTTTCTGCCAGGTGCCGATGGCTCATGTCCTAAATGCTAACTACTCAGGAAGCTGAGATCTGAGGATCACAGTTCAAAGCTGTAAAGTCTGTGAGACTCTTTTATTTCCCAATAACCACCAGAAAACCAGAAACAGCTTTGGCTCAAGTGGTAGAGCACTTACCTTGAGCTGAAGAGCTCGGGGACAGCACTCAGGCCCAGAGTTTAAGCCCCATAATCAACCAAAAAATAAATGTTTCTGCATAGCAAAGGAAATAGTCACTATTAGGTCTTCCCAGGAGGACAGTCCCTTTCCCCCTTCCTCTGGGTGAAAGACAGCACTGTAGCTTTATCAGAAATCACCTGCCTGAAACCAGTAATCATATGACTGTTAATCACCTGACTGTGAGTCACCAAAGGACCCCAGACTCAGATCACTTCCTCATCCACTCCAGTCTTGCCTCCTTCAATGAGAGGTTCCCCAGGCTCTGACATCCCTCCTCCCCATCTTTCCCTATATAATCTCTCTCAACCATATATTCCCTCTCCTCTCTTCTCCCTTCTCCTTCCCTCCTCTCTCTCTCTCTCTCTGTCTCTGTCTCTGTCTCCTCCTATCTTCTCCTCTCCTCACCTCTCCTTCCCTTCCTTTCCCTCCTTTGCACATCTCCATTTCATACAGGCTGTTTGCTTCCCCTCTCCCCCATCCCAATAAACTTTTCTGCCTGAACCACATGGCAGTCTCCTTTCTGCGAACCTTACATATGGTGCTGAAACCCAGGAGGGGCTATTGTCCGGAGCCACTGGATCCCCTCATCTTTTCTCTCTGAGGGCCAGTCCCGACGACCCCTCC